CCTGCAAACAGACATCTCCAGCTCTTTGCCCCCGAAGTGTGAGCCTCCCGGGCTCACACAGAGGCTCCTTGTGTCACTCACATCCTTGTAGGTGACAGCACAGCCGTGACACGGGAGAAGGTCTGGCTGCAGCTTGGGAGGGCCCCTTGGAATTCCAGCCTTTCTCATCTTGCTCCCTTGTGCTAAGCAGGTCTGATCGTTGCATGGCAGGTACTGGGTGAGGCCAACCTGCTGCAGGATCTGAGTGAGGGAGAGATGTGCTCACACCAAAATGCCACTTTTGGGGCACAGTGTGCAAAACTTGATTGGCCTGTGTGGACACTAAACCCTCTCAGACACTCCTCCTCCAGGACACTGTAGAAAAGAGAACCTGCCAGGTCAGTCAATGCTTTTCCCTTTCTGTTCTCATTTTACACTCAGGACAGCAGAATATTTCCTTTCTTAGTATCTTTCTAATTTGTTAAGGCTACTGAATTTGTCACATCACATTAAGGCATAGGAGGAAAGCACTTCAGGCCTTAAATTATTTAAATTATTAAATTGTAACTTTTGTCACTTGTGCTCTCTTTTGTGCATTGATTAGTCTAATTAGTTCAGCAATAAGAATCACCTTCTCCTCATGCTGGGGGTCTGGTAGGTTGTGACCAACACAACCCGAGTCTAGACATGACATCAAATAGGACTGGACTATACAGACCTGGGATCTTTCTGGGTGTGCAACAATCCTGTTTAAGATCATGCAGTCAAAATCCTTCCCTTTTGCCTATGCTTCGGTTCTCACCTCTGTCAGTGCCCAGTGTCTCATTTATGGGGAGGCTGATGCTGTTCTGAGGTGCTGTGAAATAATCAGTTTTCCATTGCCAAAAATTGGCTGGGTTTATCTAAGAAGGCCCACAGCACGTTGCTGGCATGAGCAACTACTCCAGTGAAGTCCCACCCGAGTTGCCATTTTCTATTCCACATAAAACCACCCTTCACAGTTTTTTGACTTAAAATTATTATTAGCTATTTGTCCTAAAATGTCAACAATGCAGTGATATTCTAGCAGAGCTTTTCTGCACTGTCATTTCCTATTAATTGCTTAGAAATAATGACAACATTAATTTGGAATAAGACTGTTACCTTGTCTATGCCATATATAAAATGTTAATACTAGAAGTGTACTGGGTTCATCCTAGACCTAATTAGCTCTTTGGAGAATTTACTTTGTGCAGCAGCCTGTACTGTCCACATTGATGCTAACATATTATATAATCAGCTTTAGAAAAGGCAGCAGTCTGAAGGCCAGGTTTTGTGTCCCTGTGCTAAGCCACTACCCTGAGGAGAGCACTGAAAATCAGCAGAATTTGACCAGAGGATAGAGCACAAATGTCTGGGTTTTGTAAGGAGTTGTAGAACAACTTGATATCTCAAAATCAACATTGCTTGCAAATGGTGCTCTCCAAACATGTTTATATAGATATAACAGAGATTTTACAAAATGAGTTAATGTTCTCTTTTGCTGTCCAAATTGGGTGGTGAAGTCATGGAACATGCTATTTTGATAATTTGGAACATGCCCCAGGAGTTGATTAAGTGATCTGTCTTGCTCTGTACATAAACTGTGCGTTTCCATGCAAACATCAGAAGGGTCAGAGCTGCAAACACAAGCCTGCAGAATCTGCTCGATCTCTGCCTGGCTTTTTACTACCTGTTTAAACACCAAATGTATTTTAATAGACAATTACAGCTTGTCAATGGAAATACTCCCCTATAAAAGCTAACAGTGGATGAAGTGAAAGTGCTACTGGCAAGTTAGTGGTAAGGTATTTATCATTTAGTGAGAGAGTTTTTTTTTAAAAAAAAATCTAAGACCAGTATTCAAGGGTTTGAATTTTCTTTTTTATAAATCATGACTCCTCTGCTAGTTCTGGTGCTTGAGCACGCCACCAAGGTACAGGGAAGAAATTCCTCCCAGGCACAGGGTATCCAGAGAAGCTGTGGCTGCCCCATCCCTAAAAGTGTCCCTGCCCATGTCAGGGGGTGGGATGGGCTTTAAGGTCCCAACACTAACTATTCTGTGATTCCACAATGCTGAACAGCATCTTCACCTCAACTTCTCTCGGATAAATTTGCCATCTTCCCTCCGAAGCGGAAACAGGAAGAAGAAATCAAGTGTTGTCTGCTGTTCCTCAGATCCTTGGGAGGCAGGACCCTGGTGGAGATTTATCATCTCTGGCTCAGGTGGGCAGTGGGGCAGGTATGGTTTGTCACCTCTTTCCCTCTGCTTTAGTTATTCTGCACTCTGCTTATAAGGTTGTTCTGGTGTATTTATCTTTAGTCTGTTGCTCTAGTCTTTTCTAAAGGAAACAATAAAATATCCTCTAATATATGAGATGAGAAATGCATTTAGAACTCACATCCTTCACTCCTTATGAGCAAGAGCCCCTATTACATAATAACTATGGGAAGGAGTAGGCCCTGTTTGATCAATTTGTTCCAGTTCCTGGTTACAAATAGTTCAGGGAACTAAAACAGTGACAGATGAAGGTGTAATTCCCAGATCAGAGAAGAGGTAGAGAGCTGTAGGGTAGAATACAGGTATTTCTTGACACAGCACCAAACCAGAGATGAACAGCACAATGTAGATTTGACACTTTTATTAACAAAGAACCCATGGGGCTCATTCATTAGTACAAAATACAATCATGTTCCTGTATGTTAAACAGCTTTTTTATTTTGTCTCTTTTAAACTGTTTCACAGTTATCAAAACAAAGCCCCTGCATATTGAACTTATTATTGTGCAAACAGTAATTATTTTAAGGATCAATTTCTGCACTAAGCCAAGTGCCAGAGAGCAGAACTTAATCTTGTTTTCACCCCTCCTTTGAAGGGCCATGTGTGCTTCCTAAGAAACACATAATAGTTGTCTTTTTTTGCGGCAAACAATCTAAGGCCACAGTTTATCTGCAAAGAATAAAAAACAATTCAAAGACTTTAGGAAAAAAAAAAAAAAAAAAGCACATCTTTACCCTTCATACTGCTGTTTGCTTGACCATGATTATACCAGGTAGCACGCATTACCTATCAGGTATTACAGTCCAAAAAAGCACCTAATGTTCTTTAAGCTAATATTTTGAATTATTACCATGCAAGTTAATACATGACCAAATTACTTTTCAAGTAACTAATAATGGTATCTGTCTAAGGAGAAGCTGCTTGTTCCCTTTCCAGATGATGTGATTGGAAATCCTGCACTGATTGTACGGGCAGGCCCTCACTTAAATAAAAAGGCATGAGAGATACACCTTGAGACTTAAAATAATTTTTAGAATGTCCTTTCTAAATCGTGCACTCAAATTTTGGTTAAAGCTGCATTTGCTATAGAAGACAATGTTAAGTGTTGTAAATGAAAGGAGCAACTGCAGTTTGGAAATGTGAATCTCCACCAGTCTGTCTTTCACACTGATGCAAAAGTGATTTGAGGTGAAGTGCTAGAAATTAGACAATGTAAGGAAGTTATACTAAAAGAAGACTAAAAATATATATCCGTGTATGCCTGTAGAAAAATCCCTGCTTCTTAAGTGAAGACAAATTTCATAAAAAAACCATTTAGACTTTGTTTAAACTGCAGTTATTGATGAAATGAAGGAAACTCACTTGCCGTTTTTGTACTGATCAGAAAGTACACTGTTTTACCACATGAAGCACCGGGTTTTAACCCCAAACCCTTCTGTAAGACATATAGAGTGTATCTAGTAGTCCAAAATCCCCTGTATTTCAAAGACAGGACTGTAAACGTGCATGTTGACAATGCTGTTTTCTGCTCCTGTAAGTGATCTGTTGGTGATTGTTTACTGATCCCAATTGATGGTTGGCAAGAAGCAAACATTCTACTTTTAAGTGAAGGAAGCAGAAGGGCAAGTAAATGCTGTGCCTTCACTCTTAGCAGCAACAAACTCACTGTTCTAAATGACCTGAGGAAGAAAACATTAAAATATTGCACCAAAACGAAATTAAACAGCAAAAACAAACAAGGGAACACACCAACAAATACAGTATGGATAGCAAATGACCAGTGCAGCCCCTGACAATAGATCTTTAGACAAAAATGCAGGAGTAATGAAAAGCTTTGTGCCATTACCAGAGGACATTGTTCCCCTGATGTCTGCTTTCACTTCAGTTATAAGCTATGTCTATTCTGGGTATATTTACACCTCTCCCTACACCTCTTATCTCATTCACTAACCACAGAAACCATTTAGGGTCCCTTTTAGAACCTTGAAGTATACTGGAGCTTTAACAAGACTTTTTTTGGTCTCAAATCTGACCGTAAGTAAATATCCAAAACAGAGGTAGGCTTATAAAGGCTTTTGAATAAATAAATATTGTCCATTTTGCTAAGTATACCTGCAGCTGGCAAAAGGTTTCTCCCTTGCCATGCTTCCCCTTACCATGCTATCCATAGGCTTAAGATGCAGAAGAAGAACTCACAGTAGAAGAGGTTAGAATAATTCCCTTAAGAAATCCCTTGAAAGAAAGCATAGTGCATAAGCTCGTCTCAAAGTTCACTGTTCTGTTTCACACTTGTGTCTTGCATTCAGGAAACTGTTGCCTTCATAACATTGTGCAGTAGCCATTCTGTCACCCAAGGTGTCCTCAGGATCATGATCAATGAGGAAATAGTACCACGTGGCAGGCGTGAGAAGGGCAGGTTCCCATCAAATATGAAGTTTAGACTTTCCTCTGTGTTGCAGTAGTGTTCCTTTTTTGGATGCAGACAGTGCAAAGCTGAAGCCCCTTGAACACTGGAATCTTTTGGAAATGTTTTCTTACCCCACATTCTGTTCTCCTACGTAAGTTCCACAACAGGAGTTCTCCACATCACTATGTACATTCTTCCAGAGCATTGCAAACAAAATATAGATTCTTTTCTCTTCACAAGATCCACACATCTCCTCCTTGTACTTTGTGTAGTGTATCCACTTTTTTGGAGAGCATTCAGTATTTCATTGACGCATTTTTGTTTCAGTATTTTCAGGTATTTCTCAAGTATCCCAAGCTTAGCTGCTTCCCTGTTATCCTCTGTGCAGACTAATCCAGCAGGTTTCTCTTTGTCACCAAACATGCTCATACCTCCCTCTCCATTTTCCTTTGCCTTTCTCATACACAGACTGAAGCTTTGAAAAATAAAACTGTTTCCTTTTTAGCTGCACTACCAGCTTAAGCAGCAGAAAAGATTAAGACATTCATCACAATGATGCTCATTATAAATCCTCTTCAGAGCATGAATGAAACGGGCTGAACTTCTTCTACATCAGTTGGATGTGGATCAATCTAAGGAGAGAAGAAAGACAACAATTACTACCTGCAATTCCTGCATTTAGGTATGAGTTTGCGGGTTTTTTTTTGCCATCTGACAATAAAAACACCACCTGCTATTTATTTTCTTACCTCTGAATAAAGAGGTGGAGGCTGAAACCGGAACTCTTGTATGTAAGCAAAGACAGGACAACACAACTGTTCCTCACAGTCAATGGGTGGTGGATAAGCAGGAACATGTCTAGAAAACTCTTCCTCAGACACTATATCAGCATAATTTGGTGGTGCTGAAACACAAGAGATGTTTCTGTCATATTTCAAACTATTCACTCATAGCAAGAATATCTGCATTACAGTATATCCAGGACCACAAACTATTCCAAGTGCACTGAACTCTTAAATATTTGAACTAAAATTATGTTTTCAGTAAACTCGGGTGAGTCAGCAGGAATAGAGAGTGCTGTGCTTTTAGGACAACTCCAGCTGCAAATGTGTGTTGTATCAAGATATATTCAGTGATGAGTAGAATTTTCCCACCATCAGGAGTTAGTTGTTTCAGTCAGAGGGGGTACAGAGAGACTTGAGGAAGGCTGGAGTTGGGGTAACCTAACCAGTTGTTTTGGATCTCAATTTAAAACTCCTTGAGTCATACTTCCATGGCCTACATCCCTGGCAGTGCCCTTCAACTGGCACTGTACCCATCTGCTGCAGACAGTGCTGTGCTGGATTAGAGAGTTCAATATGTATTTATTACCTTCAGGGTGTTCAGGCATGGTCAATGCCAGCCAACTCATATCCATACTAAACTGGCTGGTAATGCTGGAGTTTCTGCTTGAAAATCCAATACATGGAATAGTGCCAATCACCAGAGGCATTTCAATCATCAATTTCTTAGCACCAGGAATATGGATATACACCTATGTGACAACCCCCAAACAGAAGAAAAAAACATTGTGAGACCCCATTGAATGCTGCTCTTAAAAGCTGCCTTACTCCCTACAACTGCAAATTTAAAAATTAAGAGCTTTGTCATCCCAGTTATGCTTAGCTAATACCCTGGCAGCTTTCCTTGTTTTTCAGCAGCTTCCTTCTTTCTGTAACTTGTCTCAAGTGGCATTAAAAAATAAAAACCATCATGACAAACTTAATTATGCACTTGACTTTCAGTCTTATCTTCCCATTTCTGGAAGGAATCACTTGAGGATCCCATTCAGCTTGAAATGCTTCCCCAAAATAATCCCTACATGTCTGAAACTAAGCTGCTTCTTCCTCATTTTTCCCTTTTCCACATTATTCCCATCTTTTCATCTCAGAATCTCTTCACAGCCTTCAGTCTCTCATGTATATAGTTTATGATATTTATTTTTCAGAGTCATAGAATGGTTTGGGTTAGAAGGGACCTTAAAGATCATCTAGTTCTAGCCCCCCACCATGGGCTGGGACACCTTTCCCTAGATTTGTATTTATTGTAGTTCCCAAGTTAAAAACCTAACAGGTACTCAGTAAATTCTTCTGCTCCCAATTGAATGCAGCATCTAAAGTTTGTACATTTGAAAACCCAATACTTACAGCTAATGAATATTCTACTCTAATAATGCAGCAGTCAAGTATAGATGGGGATACAGGTGGGATTTTCAGAGTTTTCCCATTCCAGGTATCTGTACTCCCAGAGGCAATGTGGTTTCCTCGGACATTGGCAACCATCTGACGGAAGGTTTTTGTCTTCCCACTGGCCAGGTAAGTTTGTGTTTGGAAAATGGCAGCTTTTGGAACAATCAAACGAGAAGAGCAGTTCTCAATTTCTGCATAGATTGGGATGGCTTCCCCTTAGAGACAGAAAAAGTCCAATGAATAATTTGTATTTACCAACTTTCCTCTGGGAGTATCAAAGCATGTTACACAGCACGTACATCATCTGCAGTGTTATGAGAACAATACTTGCTAAGTTTCCTCAAGCCAGTTTATTTTTTTCAGAGTGGTATCCAGGCAGAATTATAGCCACCTACTATGTTTTACACATAAACAATGATTCATTTTGAAACATTAAGCATAGTTATGAACAAGCTATAAAAGCTTTATTTGCAAATTATGCCCCGATCTTCCTTTTATATAGTATTAAATGAATTTCAGGATGTCTTATTTTACTTTCTCAATGTATCTAACATGATCAAGATGAAGAATCTGCTAAAGCTCATTTTTACCCAAGTGTAAACCTACACAAATAGGATGTAAAAACCTAATTACATCCCAGTTAAGTATTTTATACCAGATAAAAACATTTTGTTGTTCTTTACACTCAAATGCACATGGATTTTCTGTAGGATTATTAATAGGACTTCCATTCAACTTCTATTCCCAGAGAAAAAGATGATTTTTTTTTTTTAAAAAAATTCATATGATCTTAATTTACTTCTATTAAACAGAACTATTCTTTGAACTGTAAAGTTTTGGTTTCATTGAGATTTAAAAAAAAACCCCAACCTATTAGATGCTTAGTATTTACATTTTTAAGATAACTACTCTTACCATTACAGTATCCCTTCCTCTCAATTTTGGCACTGAGAGACACTGGCCCAGAGGTGAAAAACCAACAGCCAACCATCTTCTCCTGACTTCTTAGAACAGGTGTCTATAAAATATAGAGTATTTTTCATTTTATGGCATAAAGCTCTCAATCACTTGCAGTTTAGTGTTATGCATATCAGTCATGGCAACCCAGCTCTAAAATCCAGGTCAACTGAATCTCTGAACTGCTCAGTGCAATTGTACTTCTGCCACCATGTGAAGTGGAACCAAGGTTTGGCGATCTGAACATTTCTCTTTTGAAATCCCAGTCTGTATTTATACTGTACTAAGTAACACAGACTAGTGTGTCTTAGCATGTGCTTTATCTGCAAATTGAACTTTTTAAAGGTCTCATGGAATACTGTGCTGTTTATCCCCATGTTTCTCACTGCAGAAGAATGCAGAATTAATTTTATTTGTAAACAACTAACAGTTAAGCAAATAATTTTTTTTTACCTTTGTATCTTTAAGAAAGGATAAATGTATATAGACACTGGGCTAAGGGGATGCACCTTCATTACTTGCAAGGCTCCCCCAAAAATGCAGAGGTGTGACAAAAACCATCTTAATTATTCAAGGACTGTTGCACTGGATGACATTTACACTGCCTGTAACGTTTTCACTAGAATAAACTCACAAGCACACAAGTCAAGGGTCCAAGCCAGAATCAAAGTTATTCAAAATGATTTACTGGGCAGTGGCACCCAGTCAATACAATAATGCAAATTGGTTTTGTATTTTCGTTATTGTAATGAAAAAACTCTGTTGTTTTGCAGTTTTGGTGGCAGCCTTGGAATCCATTAAGACTGGCACTGCCTTCCTGATGTGTCCTACCCACCTCTTCTGTGAAATAACCTATGGTCTGCTCTGTCCTTACAGAATGTGGCTATGATGCCTTCAAACTCCTAACTACTGAATATAAAGACTATTCTGCTTAGAGATGTCACTGCCAAAATACCCTAAGTTCTCTCCAGAATGGATTAAAATGTAAGCATGTAATGAGGGGGGGGAAAAAGCCTGCTCAAAACATCTCTTTTCTACGTTCACGTCATGATGTTAAAATTATCCTACCATTTAAAATAAAATAGAAATTACTCATTCATATTTAAATGAATAACCATTTAGATCCAGTTGCTATCATGAAAGTGCAAGGTATAATTTTATATTATTTTCATAATATGGGTTGAGATAAAAGAATCCAGCTCATTAGCTTCCATCTTGCCTATTTACTCATTACTTAATGCCTGATCTTTCTTATTACTCTACAGTATTTCCAGTGATTATTAAAAACTCAATACTTTAATGTGGCCAAATCTGTCACAGGGAAATAACTGAAAGGATCTCTGGAGCAGCTGCGTGCACACACTTCATGTTAGAAAATGACATGCAAAATGCAGGGATACGTAACATAATGGCCAGAGCCTAAATGACAGGCTGGGCATGATTAACACTCTTCTCTAATTACTGTTCCTCAACCTACTATTATTGTAGAGTTTAGGACACTGCAGCCCTGTGAATGTAGTTGCTCTGGTAAGAGTAACTACTCTGCACTTGTGCATTACTATTATTAAGCCTTATTTATGCATCTGAATCCTGCCTAACTTTTTGGCAGGAGCATCTCTGCCAGCAGGGATGTAATCAATGGTATTAAAAAAGCCACTGTGTTTGCTATTCACACAACCTAAGATCATCTATTTATAGAGAAAAGCTTAGGGAGCTTATATGCTTTCAGAAGTCAGAAAATGACGCTCTGGAATAACATGGGAAGCATTATGGCTGGATGTGAATGCTGCCTGGAAATGGTTTCTTTGCAGCTGGTTTTATGGGGGGAGGAGGAGTGGGGGACCCTCTTACCAAGAGAGCTGGTGAGCTGACATCGATATGGCTGATGACCTGCAGCTCTGTCTGCACACTCTGGTCAGGTACAGCAGGCCTCTCCAAAACTGCTTTCACGTAGTACTGGATACTGCCATACTTCCCAGTAAAAGAGGTCACCAGAGGTCTGAAACAAGCAGTCATAAAACCATTACGCTCAATTAATAATTCAGCTCCAAACATTAACACTTCCTGCTTACAGAAACATTTCCCAATTTACAGCTTGTACATTTAGGGCCTTGCAGAAGCAAACAAGGCCTGTCTCTGTGGCCCTTGATTAAGACAAGTATATAAAGCTGATACTAAAAAAACACACAAGTCAAATTACATTAAGTTAATGTTCTACTACAAGCAGCATCCAGCACAATCCCTTCAGGTTGGATTATTGAACTTACTCTTGAGGAAGCTGAAAGCTGAACGGAAATTCGTGTCTTCCATCTAGAAGAATTAAGTTTTCCTCACCTGTAGGACAAGAATGAATAGTATATTTTAGTTATTCCAGAAATAGAACAAAGCAGACACTTTTACAAATTATTTATGTATAAAAACACCCAGATGCAAGCAGTTTTTATTGATCCCAGTAGGTTCTGGACTGCAGCCCACACTTTATTTATGCTCTGATGTGATTTCAATGAAAAACAAAAATCAAGGAAACATGGGAGACCTTGAGATTCAGTTCAGGACTCTGGCCAATTTCTAATCCAAAATGGCTTCTGCAAAGCATAAATTAAGTTTTAAGGACAGCAATTAATCTACTTTTCCAATTAACAATTAAACTAACTTCTGTGCTGAAAAACCTGCAATTTAAGGTCAGCGTTTAGAAATACTATAAATATACGCACTCCAAATTTATTCATACGGGGCCTACTGTTACACAATTTGCAAGGCCTAAATTTACTTTCCCTACAGATCAGCCTGAACTGCGTTTCACCCTCACAGAACTAAATGGTGCTGTTCTCTCTTTGATTTTTTTCAACGCTGCCATAGTGCTGCAGTGTCTGTGTGACAGAGCTCCGCAACAGCGAGCTTTCTCTGCCTCCTTAAGCCACTGGATGAGCCTGACTCCTTCCAGGGTCTTCCACGGCAGCTTCCCAGAAGCTGCTTGTCCAGCACAGCCTGCGCGGAGGGGCCCGATGGAATCTACAGAAGGGCCGAAGCTCTGCCCGAAACCCCCGCAGCGCAGGGAACCGCGCCGCGGATTTTGTTCCTGTCTCGCTCCGCGTTTTTCCACAAGGAACCGGCGGGTGAGGCGGCGGCGGATTCCCCGGCCGTACGGCTGAATGCTGGCAGCGCTGCCCTGCCCCAGCACCCGGGGTCCGTTTCTCCGGTGCCCGTCCCCACCCGGAGCGTTCCCCCCTCCGTGGGCGCCTTCCCGCGGCCCTTCCCCACTCCCGCAGCGCCACTCCCCGGTGCCACCCCCGCCGCAGCTGCGGAGCGGCCGGGCCCGCGCCCACCCCCCCCGGCCCCCCTCACCTTCGGGCGGGTCCCGCAGGAGGCTCTGCCGGATGTCCAGGTACCGCACCTCCGCCTCCCGCCGGGGCCCCGGCCCCGGGGCCCGCACCGCCACCCCCCACGTGCCCGCCCCGGGCACCGCGCCGGGGCTCTCGCTCCAAGCGACGCGCGCCCGGCCCGCGGCCTCCAGGCGCAGCCCGCGGAGCGGTAGCGGCCCCGCCAGCTCCAGCAGCACCTGCCCGGACACCGTGTCCCCGCTGCAGTATCCGCCGCCGCCTCCGCCGCGCCGGGCCTCGTCCTCCAGCACCAGGGCCAGCGTCTTCACCGCGCCGCCGGCCCCGGGGCCCGGCCCGGCCGCCGCCATCGCTCCCCGGCCGCGGGGGAACCGCGCCCGCCCTCGCCGAGCGCTTTAAACCCGCCCGTCTCCGCCAGCGCCCGCGGCGCCGCGTCCCGCCCCCGCGCGCTGCCCATTGGCCGCCCCGCGGCCCCGCGCGCCGCCATTCGCCGCGGGCCGCCCCTGCGCCCCCGCCTCATTGGTACGCGGCGGGCGCACGCCCGGAGTGCGTCACGCTGCGTGATCGCCGCGGCGGGACCAATCGCGCGCGGGCGAGCGCGCGTGGACAGCGCGGCGATTGGCGGGACGGCGGCAGGGCCCCGGCGCGCGGTCCAATGGCGCGGCGCGGCCACCACGTGCACAGCCTGTGGGTAAACAGGGAGCGGGGGCGGGCCTGGGGGTGGGGCCCTCACCCCTCATCACTTCACGCCCCTCCGTGACGGGTCCCCGGGCGGCGGCCCTGGAAGTGCCGCGGGGGTCCCGTCCCTCGCTTTGCCACCTCCTTTGGTCACTGCTCGCCAGCCCAGCGCTGTGGGGAATCCACGTGCCCTTGGTGACCCCCCTCTGAGGGGAAACCTTACCTTGTCTCTCGGTGTCCCTCCGGTGCTGCCATGGGAGAGAGGGAGGCAGCGCGGTGCTGGGTCGGTCTCAGCCTCTCCCGCTGACAGCCGCGCTGGCTGGGACTATTAAATATGGAAAAAGGATGTGGTGCTGCTGTCTCCCCTCCAGCTTTGTCTAGAGGTTACCTGCCTGTGTGAAGCCCCTTCTTGCCCCACTGAAGGGCAGGAGCTGAAGGGGTTTAGCTGTAAATGAACAGTCCCGGACAGCGGGGAAACCTCGTGTCCACACAAATACTCTGCGTTTCTGCACCTTGTAAATCAACAAATGCCCTGCTTTAAGAACTTGCTCCTACAACCCCACTTTGTAGCTGGGCAGTGAAATGGGTGCACCCCGCTGTGTGCTGTCACACCTGAGCACATCATCCATAGGTAACACTTGGGAGATAGATTAAAGAAAAAATGCAAAGTTTTGCTGTTATGTTTAAAAGCAGACGCTTAGGAAACCCCAGCAAGCAGTGGAAGAGTGGAGAATGTGCCTGAGTCGATGGGTGGGCAGGCCAGAATAATCATTCCCACAGTGGTGAGGCTGCGACAGCCCCGTGCCCATCTCCAGCCAGCCCAAGACGTGCTCCAAACCAGAATGCTTTGACTTTAGGGGACACATACTGCAATTATTGCTGTTCTTGGCCTTGTTGTGTTTTACGATGGCCCAAGCTGGCAGCAGTGCATCTTCCCGGAGGTGTGTGTGTGCTGTGGATGATGTGATGGCATTTCCACGGGTGACCAAGGAGTCATCTCCCACTCCGAGTCACCTACCTGCTTGAAGCTTCTGACAGCTGCATCTTCCTGCATTCCTCCATCCCTCTGGGGCGCTGCAAAACACCAGCCTGGTGCTTCCCAGCTGACTCAGTTAATTACTGAAATTAGCAAAACTTGTCTTCGGCACACAGAGCCTTGGCTTTTAAATAAATAACAGGTGATATAAATCCCCAGGTTTCCTCAGAACCCCCCGTGGCCTGTGAAATGTAACCTCATATTGAAAGTTCCTTCCTTGCCAAGAGCCAGGTAGGCCTTTGGAACATCTTTTGTTTGCTACAGGTTCATACCCATATCCATGTTAGTCAATAGTGACCTGAGGAAAAGGAATGTGCTTACAGATAACTTGTGGGCTTTATTTCAACTTTTGGCCATGCATTCTTCAGCTGATGATGATAATTATGTAAAGGAAAATAACTCTATTATGATGATGATTGTTTGAATATTTAAAGAATTGTTGCCTATTTGCATCCCTTTGTGCATCTGAAATAATTCTTTACAGAAACTACAAATGTTGCATTGTAGTTGGGAATTGTGGTGTATAAAATTGTACTACCTTGGTATTTTTTTCAGTTCAATTAAACTCAGACGTGACTAGTTTTGCATCAATCTTTTCCTTGTATGCAGTTTTTCACATTGACAAGTATCAAGTTAGTTTTGTAGTCAGCCAAGAGACCGTGCTTAGATGTGCAGACTGAATATTTGCTTATTTGATGAGTTTCATTAGGTACAATACGTGTGTGTGCAGACTGATTTTGAGAGTATGATACAGAGGAAAAAAAAATCAAAATCCCACAACTCCCTTTTTCCTACATGAATTAGATCCTGTATAAAAGTAATTAATTCTCTTATGGGTTTATGCAACCATTCAAACGCTGCCTCCCTTTCATTCTTTGCAAGTGCAAATGAGCTAGATAGGGAAATGAATAAACATGGCAAATTGCTTATGAAACAAAACATTACCCAGAATTAGAGAGAGCTGGGAGGCTTCAGTAACTCGAGCAATTAGCCTGTAGAGGACACAGTTAATAGGCACATTCTGTCACAGTCAGGAGATACTTCTTCCAGATGTTGGTTTGCCCTTTAATATATTTTCTTTCTTTCTTTTTTTTTTCACAGCAAGAATCAAAAACCAGCACTTGTTATAATTATCAAGGAGTGATTGGTTTTCTTATCTACCCATCTTTCTGGTGTTTGAGGCATTTTAACTGACCCACACAGTGATGCTGTAGCATGAATGGTGGAAACCACCACATGACTATTTTAGTCTCTGACAAGCCAGGCGGAAGGAAGAGGAGATGAGCGCTCACAGTGTGGGTGTTTGTGTGTGACTGGTAATCTGAGTGTGGGAATAGGTGTGAAAGAGCAAGAGATACACTAACATGCTTGATTATATTTTCATTCCACTCATTTTGCTTCTTTATAAGAAAGAGCTACCTGAACAATTTAGATAATGCAAAAATTAGCTTGTAAGAGTAAAAAATACACAAAGAAAAGTCTCATTGGAGAGTATCCATAAAGCTGTGAACAGCTCTAGCAATAATCAGAGACTCACCATGAAGGGAAAGGAAGAAGGAGCTCTTCCTACAGTAGCTGGTTATATCCTGGCTCTGGTGGTTAATTTAGAAATGACTTCTATGGTCAGATCACTGAATTTAGATGGATAGATTCTACATGCAGTATATTTTTACTCATTTCAGTGCAAATGCTGAAAATAGGGCTATCAGCACTTAAGCCTGCCAGAAGAGTTTTGGAAAGTGTGGAGTTGATTCCAATTTTCCATAACAGGTAGGACACATAATATGTAAATACCAATTTTTTATTTTTTTTTTTTGGTGGAAGATATAAGATAAGAAACAGTCTCAGTAACAGCTTCTTGTGCCAAGAAGGTTTCTGTTTTCCAAGAACCCAAGCTGTAACTGGGAAGGAAGTGAGAAATTTGATGAGTATTTGCTGTCCTCTTCCTGCTTGAAGGAGCTGAGACACAGCTCTTCATCATGAGTCAGGCACCAGGAGTTTGCCAACTAAGCCTTTCTGTTCTTAATAGCCTGGCAGTTTAGAGAGTGAAGAGCTATTTCTGCTACTGAAGGAGGACTTGGGGAAGTGTTTATGAGAGCTGCTAACAGCTAATTTACAAATTGGAGTTCTTATTTGAGATTGTTGTGCTATAACATCCATTCAAGCATCTTTCTTAGCCAGTACCAAACACAACGGGCAAAGCCCCGGTGTCTGAGCTGCAGCTGAGTTCAGTGGGAGAGCCATGAGCCAGGATGTGTGTGAGTGAAGGGAGTGCAAACCCCATCCTGACTTTTCTGCATGGGAGGGGGGATTTGTCCATTTACCTCATCCTTTATCTGCCAAAAATTTCAGCTGTCTCAGTGGCTCTGACAGATGTTAGGAAGCAGTTGGCTGAGAGCAATGTTTACCCCTGATATTACACGCTTTAGAGTTCCACAAAAGCCTCAGAATATAAGGCCTTTTTTTTTGTTCCCAGATATCCAGAAATCTTCATTCTGGGGTTGTTTATGGAGTCAGGACAGGGAGGGATGAGAGACAATTCCTTTCTTTCCCTAGTTCCTGGCCTTTTACCAGCGAGTTCCTTTATCAGCACTGTGCCAGAAATGCAGCCCTGAGTGGAGCATGAATTCTCCCTGGCCTCCCAGTCAGCACAAGAAGGCGACAAAAGGGTGCTGGTTGCACTTGCTGTCATGGACAGTCTTTTATTGCTTTTATTCTATTACCAGTAATTGAAAGGTCAGCCAAAATTTTCTTAGACAATTAAGTGACATTTACAGAGATGAGATTGAGAGCAGCCAGAGATGCTTTTCTAAGTGATGCTGCCCAGCTAGTCTGATATGTCACTACAGCCAGCGTGTAAAACACGAGGATGGATGTTTTTAAGGGTTGTGCTGTATGTGGTACATTGAGAAAAGCAAATTCTGAGATACTGAGGGTTTTATCTGGGCAGGTGTTAGTTCACACAGCCTGGTTCAACAAAGCACAATTGCCTTGAAGGCCAAAAGACCAATCTGAATTCAAGGTTATGTCTGGAAAATGGAAAATCATGAATGAGAGTATGGGATCCCGTGTAGAAATCCGAGGCAGAGGAAGGACAGAGTAGGTTGCACGAGGCTGATGACAGAGAACCAAACCATCAAGGCTCGTGCTCTGAGTCATTGGCTCACACAGCTGCCACACACCCTTACCTTCTGAGGGCTGTGAGAGGAGTTTCTCATCCCTGCCTCAAGAGGCTGGGGCAGAAAGAGAGGTGGTGGTGCAAGCTGCGGGGCATCCTTTCTACTTCCAGTTGCAGCACGGAGCCAGGACCTTCTCTGTCTCCTCATGAGGTGGCAGCATGCAGCAGGCCCACAGGATAAATGTCAGCACTAGGATTGCATCCCAGCACATGATGGACCATCATGTTGTTTCATGCACTGGTAAAGAAAACACTTGAGTGACCTGTTGTTTACTTAAATATTTATATAGTGATTCAGAGTGCAGGATATGTTACAGCTTGTTCCTGTGCATAAAAGTGATCTAAATCCAGCACTCAGCTGGGCAGCAGAGGACTGCTCCAGGGTGGGTTTGGATGTTTACAGCTGCTATAGGTTTTGAAGGAGTGTGATCAGAGAAAAATAATGTGCTTAGAACATC